TATATCCATTGGATCCCCCTTGTCCACGTTTGTTGACCCCCTCATAGAATTCTAGTAGATTCTTGTTTCTTGATGTTTTTCATTTTTAATCACATGAAAAGGATGTCTTAAGTACACTTTTTGTCTTGTTTTACTTCCCAATAGAATCTTCCAGTAACATTCCTTAATGGTTTTGGAATTATAACAAGTTATAACACAGTACAAAACATTTAAAATGTTTCTATAATATGAGCAAATAGTGATTCCTTATTGAACATAATCATCTTTAGGTAGATTGTGTTTGAACTTGATATTGGCAAAATGTTAAAAAATTAAGAAAAAAATTTTGAGTGCTGCCACTAACTTGTGAGTAAGAACATTTCATGCTGTCCCAATTTCATCTGATAACAGCACCGTATAGTTAATTCTGGGAGCCGCTGAGTCGGGAGGTTCTTTAACTAGTGCTCATGCTAACTGCCTTAGTAAATCTCAGGCTCCAGTATTACAGTATTCGTGCCTGTTGATACAATAGCCACACTGATTTTTTTATCTAAGTACTTTAGACTGAGGAGAATTAATTTTATTCCTACTCTTAGCTGCAAAGCCAGAGCTTTGATTAACTTGCAATTTAGACTTATTTCGGTACAGTAGAACTCAATTACTTCAGCTCCAGCAGTGATGTGCTGGTTCTTTAGGATCTGAAGGAGATGTTTAAATTACACAGGTATTTTTCAGTGAGCCAAGTCCTTGAAGCTCTCTTACCTAATTACTTGGTAGCTTTGTTTGCTAGAGAATAAGTAAGACACCTGTAAAGGAAAAGGATAATGGGAATTGGTGTTCAGTAGGATGAAAAATGGTAACTTTTTTCAAACTGATAGTATCCTTTAGACCCAACATTTAAATGATTAAACTAATTACAGCTGAAATATTTCACAAACGTACAAAGGTAAGGGCAATGCTGAACGAGAAATGGGAAAATAGAAGGCGTGAGAAAAGGGAATTGGTGGTAAAAGAAACATGACAGTGTTTCTACATCATCCTGATTTAGTTTCTGTTTCTATAGAAAACACAATAGTTCTTTATTTGGGAGAAGAGATTAGAATGTTGATGATGATACAAGTCAAATTGCCACTTACTGTGAATGAAGCTGCATGCCGTAATGGCAAGCAATTCCTCTGCCACATTTCAAACTCTGAAGAACCTTTTAACACATATTCAGTTAGGCTAAAATTAAAAACAGTTCAAGAATCGGTGGGCTGCTAATAATTTGTTAATGGTGATTTTAAAAACATTTTTCATTTAACTATTTTTTTACTAGAAAATCACAAGTGGGCTATTTTTGATGATTCCTGAGGCATGGGTATATGTTTTAACCTATAATTCAGTTTCTGACAAGTTAAGCAAATTGTAGTGTTTCTCCCTTATGGCTGAATAAGATCTGATGCTTAAATAAAGTAGAATAATATGGTGTCTAGCCTCAGCCCACTTACATAGGGTTTAATGTTCCTCTTTTAATTATCCAGAAGAATGCAGAGCTCAGTATCTATTTTTGGTTGATCATAGCAGCTGCATTCCATGACCTTGACATCACTCTTTTATTTGATGATAAAACTCCACAGTGTGTTAAACAGAGTAACCATGGATTGAGGGTTTTTCATTTGGACGCTAGCCAGTCCTCATTTAAATCTGAACTACATTTTGCCCTATTTTAGTACAGTTGCACTTTTCCACTAAGCACAGAGTGATTTAAAATTTAAATTGTCTATTTTATTAATCCTTTGGTGCATGGTTGGAGGATGGGTGCACTTAAAGAAATGCTTTTCCATATTTGCATTACCCAGCCTCTTCCTATTATTTGTCATCTCACTTATTGTGTTTATACATTTTTAGATTGTAAACTTTATTGGGGGCGTAGATTATCTTCCTTTTCTGAAACATCCAGTATACTTTAGGGCACTATACAATAAATTAGCTTGAGTTAAAATTATTTTTAAAAAGTAACAAACTGTTAACTTCCAAATCGGAGCATATTCAGATTTTATAATGAAAGCTGTGTAATGATTATGAAAATATAGTACATCTTTATATTGAAGTTCATTTAAATGCTATGAGGAGTAATAAGGTGATTAAGATCTAAAAGCTTTTCTCCCCAGGGCTTACTGTGACAGATTTTATGGGAAAAAAAAATACTTATGTCGCTACATAAACTATTCTTCACCTTTATACAAGCTTATGAAGATAACTAAGCAGTTTTTAGTATCCTGGAAACATCTCTCCTACTCTGCTGGAAGCAGCAGACCTAAGTCATAAGGAGTTTTTCTTGTGCTCTTTTGGGTCAGTCTCACCTCTGTTTTGTTTTTGAAAGGTGTCAGTAATCTGAAATAGTATTTCACTGTTTTTAGATAAACTTTATCTATAAATCCAGGGACAAGTAGATGTTCTCCAGAACACAAAATAGCATATTAGAGTCTAATTTTAAAATCTTGTTCTTTAATGGCTTGCTGAATGTTTCAGAAATTCATTTACATAATCTTCAAGAGTGGTGCAGCCTTCCTGTAAAAGTGACAGGCACATCACATCACATCGACATTTTAGCCAAAGTCTTCCTGAGGATGTGAACAAACAAATATTCAAATATATTACATACCCAATATTTGAATTCACATAGCTATGTTACTCCTGTTTGACAAACTATAACATCTTAAAGCAATGACATATTACTTAAGAAGACAATAGGAACCTGTTCCTGAGAGGTGTTGATCGTCCACTTTGCAGAATCAATGGATGTTGCAGGTGCTCAGCACATCTCTGGTTTACGCTCTGTGAGAATTGAACCAAATTTTTCTAAAGAATGGCTCCAGTTAACCACTCTTCTCTTAATTACAATAAGATGGCTGCAAGAGATTTTTTGCCAAGCCATTTTTAACAAGCTAGAAGGGATATTACTAGATATCATGAGTAAAATTCCTGTATAGTGAACCCAAACGTTAGAATCAGCTGTTAGGCCAAAAAACATTGAAATTCCATTATTTGGATTCGCTTATGCAGAAAAACAGTATTCAAAGTCTGTCAAAATTCCAATTTTTTTCTTGCATCAAAATTTATTCATATCTTATGGAACTTGGGCATGAAGCCTAGGTAACGGATGTCCCGTACTCTTTAAAAGCCTAACCCAAGGTTTGAGTTCACTCTTCTGGGTAAAATTTCTCACTCCTTTTTTTTTTTTTTCTTTTTTTCCCCTTTCATGTAGGTATGACATCACAAGGGCAATTAATTGTATAAACCACATAATTGTTCTTGCATATAATCCTGTGCTTGACACATTTTTCCCTTGTAATAATAATGCCATCTGCTGAATGAAAGTGTCTTAATGCATTTTTCTTAATTTTACTGTAGGGGAAATTGATTCACTTTGAGTAAATGTATTCAAATCCTCTTGTGGAAATGTGGTTATTGAAAAATTACTCTCCAACGTTCATCCACTGATATCTCATACCCAAGTATCAAAGTCTCTAGCATACATGACACCAGATTATATTTAATTGCTTCTGCATCAAAAATCTTCATAAAAATGTTTTACTCTAATTCTTTTCCCCTGCTTGCATTAATTTCACACCCCAGTAGATAGTATGCTTTCTATTCTCATAGTGGAAAAGACCCCCCAATTTTAATGGCTCTGTAAAAAACCTACCTCTATATAACAAGTGATTCCTGTGTGTAGACTTCTTAAATAAATCTTAAGTCATTTTAATTATTTTAACATCAAGAAGACCTGTTACTTCAGTGTCACCTTACAGTAAATTTTATTAGATACCTATTTTGTATATCTTACACACTCCTACCTAAAATATTTCTCCCTTTCTCAAAAACTACAAACTTTCTACTTTATACTTAATAGAAATAGTATAAATTGTAAACTCCTGTCAAAATCCACTCTACTGATTTCACTAAAACAAATTTTCAGAGGTGTCTTTGACCTTACCCCTGTTGCTTTTCTCTCCCAAAAAAGGTGGTAATGAAATTTCTTGTCAACAAATCAGATACTCCAATAGATGAATCTGTTTTATATACTGTATGTAACTCACTGAAGCTATGCCATCGACATGTTAGTGTATAAACTAATGTTCAGAGTAACAAAAACTGAATCTATATTCACAATACTGCCATTAAATCTATGGAGAAAATGTGTTTTGTTTAAAATGTCTCTAAATGTCAAATAGAGTTTTATTTGGGGAGGATGAGGGCAACAAACTGAGCTAGAAGTTGAGTGATTGAGTACCAAAAAGAGTCTGTATCTAAGATATCTTTTGAAATATTTCTATTTTTGTTTAAATATAGGGATTTTTTCCTAGCTTCACTAAAAGCAGTGGTTTTTACAGGGCGCTTTATGCTCCTATGAATCCAATTGCGTTTTTTTCCCAAGAAAGTCTTTCAGGGAGTATCGTCACAATGGCTATTAGCCAGGATGGGCGGGTATGGTGTCCCGTAGCCTCAGTTTGCCAGAAGCTGGGAATGGATCACTTGATGATTACCTGTTCTGTTCATTCCCTCTGGGGCACCTGGCATTGGCCACTGTCTGAAGACAGGATACTGGGCTAGATGGTCCTTTGGTCTGACCCAGTGTGGCTGTTCTTATGTTCTTAAGAAGGTCTGACCATTCTACAAATGCTCTGTAGAGTCAGCTGTGGGGAGGAAAGTGAGGGAAAATCTGCTTTGAAGCTATTTTATGGGTTAAGGTTTGTAAGATCTGGCCTTAAAAGTTAGTATTTGTGGCATTATCAAGCATCTTTTTCAAGTTATATTTTGGAAGACTTATCAACTATTCCCTTGCCATTTATACTGTTGTGCTTGGTTCATATCTGCTCTGTCAGCCATATTATACAACCATTTTTGGCAAGCAGTAGAAGTGTTACCCATGGTTTAAGATTAATGTATGTTGGATGTTTCAGAATTTTTTGAGCTATAATATCAGATGTGATAATGCTGAAGTACAGAGAATTTACATAATTACTTTTTTGCAGTTGTCTTGTAGAAGGAGATGTTAAGGAAGAAATCTTGCAGCCTCCAGAGCCTCACCCAGTACCACCCATCTTAACACCATCTCCTCCTTCAGCTTATCCGACAGTCACTACTGTGTGGCAGGACAATGATAGATACCATCCAAAGCCAGTTTTGCACATGGTTTCATCAGACCATTCAACAGACCTCAATGAAAACTATAATAAATCAACAGAACATTCAGGGAAAAATGAACCCAATGAACGTGTGGAGAAAAAGCTGGAGCGCAACTTAAGTTTTGAAATTAAGAAGGTACCTCTTCAGGAGGGACCACGAAGCTTTGATGGGAATACTCTTTTGAACCGAGGACATGCAATTAAAATGAAGTCTGTTTCATCTTGTGTAATGCATAAGAACTCTAAGCCACTGGATCATAGTTCAGGGGATTCACTTGTAGACTCTTTTCAAAACTCTAGTATGGAATACAGTGTGCCACAATCTAACAAAGCCGTAGTAGCTTCACTGGAAGGGCTGCAGAGCCAGAAGGATTCTGATGCTCCACCAAGACCAGACCGTCTGCTTCTCAAAGAGAAGGAGCATGCCATGTGGTCACTACATGGGCCTGAAAATGCACTGCCTACATCTGCATCTGAGGCTATGTCCTCAGATGTCTTAAGTCATAGTATTAAAACTGCCTCTCTGGTACCAAACCCCACATCTCAAGTGGAATGCTCTTCCAGTGAAACAGTTGATCATCGGGGCAGTACACTTTTAGTTAGAGCACCCCTCTGTTTCACTAATCCTCTTCATTCCGATGATTCTGACACAGATGAGAAGAACGTTGATGGAGCCATGACCAAAAGTATGTCTAATATTTCAACCGCAAGTGCCACAGTTTCTGCTTCAACTAGTACTGAAAACATTTCTTCTAGAAAAGTATTATCAATGTCCATTGCTAGACAAGATGTTCCAAGCATAAGACATTCTGAAGAGGAAAAAGGTAGGTTTTTTTTGTATTTCAGCTGTATTTGTCACTTTTAATCTGTAGAGTGGGAAAATATTTCATAATTTAAGACCGTATTTCAAAGAAATATTTAATTACAAATCTTAAACTTTAAATTGACAGTATGGCTGCTTCTGCAACAATCTAATTTAGTTTCCCAATCTCCTGTGAGTTAACCCTGTTGTATTGTTACTACAAACCTTGATAAACTGCCTTGAGTGCTGTATTGAGAAACATTTACTCCATGAATAGCCTGTTTCTACCTTTTCAACAGTCTCATTCTTCTCATCTGAAGTTAGGTTGCCCCTTCATTCCACCACTTTGGATACTTGGAAATATTAGTGTAAATTTTTTGTGTACTTAACAAATATCACAGTCTGTTAAATGTTGGATATCCAATTAGTTTGGATAACTACATTCACAGTAAAAAAAAAAAAAAAAAAAAAAAAAACATAGCAGCAATACTCCCTTCTGAGTAATTTATCTGTCCAGTCACCACTGTCTGATGGTCACCACTGGTTAAAGTAAAACAGTTATCTTTGCTTTATCGCTCTTTGAGAAACGTGTTACGCTGTGAATAGAAGATGCATTTCTAATACTACTGTTGGGCTCTGTGGTTTTTGCAGTTCGCTGCACCAGAACGGGGTGAGGAAGGTAGGCTTACACCCTAGTTCCATTCAAAAGAGAGATGTTAAACATAATTGAGCAGGTGACATCAAACACTAATGTGCAGTGACAGTCAAAAAGCTAACAATGTTAGGAATCATTAGGGAAGGATAGATAAGACCGAAAATCATTATGCCACTATATAAATCAATGTTAGAGCCACAACTTGAGTACTGTGTGCAGTTCTGGTTCCCTTATCTTAAAAAAAAAAAAAACCAAAAAAACAAAACAAACCACACACACTGGGAAGAAGTACAGAGACGGGCAACAAAAACGATTAGGAGTATGGATCAGCTTCCATATGAGGAGAGATTAAAAAGACAGGACTGTTCACTTTCGAAAAGAAAGGACTAAGTTGTGATGTAATACGGTTTATAAAATCATGAATGGTGTGAAGAAAGTGAAAAAGGAAGTGTTATTTACCCCTTCACATAACACAATGAAATTAATAGGCAGCAGCTTTAAAACAAAGGAAGTACTTTCTCACACAACACACAGTCAACCTATGAAACTCTTGCCAGTAGGTGTTGTGAAGACCAAAAGCATAACTGGGTTAAAAAAAAAATTAGAAAAGTTCACGGAGGATAGGTCAATGAATAGCTATTAGCCAAGATAGTTAGAGATATGGCCCCATGCTCTGGGTGTGCCTAGACCTCTGACTGCCGGAAGCTGGGAATTAATGACAAGGGTGGCTCACTCAATAATTGCCCTGTTCTGTTCGTTCCCTCTGACACATCTGCACCAGCCACTGTTAGAATGCAGGATACTGAGTTAGATGAACTATTGATCTGACCCAGAGTGGCCATTCTTATATTTTTATGAACCATCACATATTGACTAAATCATTCAGATTTGTGGCATCAAGTAAACCATGCTTGACAAAGTTCTTGAATATAGTTGACGCCTTTTTAAAATTAAGATAATTATAAGGAAGCAGTTTACTGGTTTTTGTGCGTGCCACCATCTTGAATGGCCCAAAATGAGGGGAAGGTGTTCAGTGATATGAGATGTTGAAGTCAACTTTCTTAAACAAAAGGTGATCCCTTTGCTGCCGCTTCAGAGAAGCGTTTTGGAAGTTTTTATATTTTTTCCTAGGCTGTGCTTCTGTCAGAAATGACCTATATTTAAAAGCATACTATCTTTTGACAAATCTAAAAGAACACTATCTTTACAGGTGCTTCAGGATTAAATTCTTTCTACAAGCATAGCTTGCACATAGACTAAGGGTTAAAAGTAGCTAATTCCTATTTTAAGGTTTTTTAAAATCATAAGACACGTACCAAAAAGCAAATATCCTTTGCTTCCGTCCCCTATTTAGCATATCTGCCAAAATGGTCTGTCTTGAGACTAGTAAAAAACAGGTAAATTCATATTAAACTGTTTGTTTTCAATGTATTTCTACTCGGGCTTTTGGTGTTCTCACCCAGGGCTGTTGCTATGTCTATTTTGCTATTGTCAGTCCCAAGTTATGATAATGTTCAAGTCTATCTCCTCATGTCTGAACATGTTAGCCATGTTCTCCTGGCATGGATACTGTGAGGACATAAAAGTGAGATGTAAAAAAGATGGGAATGCAAGGTGTGGTATAAAGGTGATGAAAGACTGAAAAGAACATAGCACCGAGAGGCTTGATCAATGGAATTGCTGCATCAGAAGTGTGTGTGAGAGGGAGAGAGAACTTAAAAATGAAGTCTGAACTGTGGTTTCTAGAAGACTTGATAAAACATTTTAGGCAGAGGACTCTCCCCTTTAAAGTTTTAAATTGTGGTAGATTCTAGTTTGTCATATATGTGCCGCCTGGTCGTTGTGGGTTCACCTGTCTCCCTTGTATTATGCTGATTGAACCATGTTTAATGGTCAAATGCAGTTCTTCCTGGTAACCAGTTGTGTTGTATTAGAGAATATGCTGGTGCAAAAACATTCAAGGGCTGGTCTTAAAATGAGGATTATAAATTGTGCTTAATACCCTTGATGGGCTGTTTAGGCTTTATGCTTTGATTGTATGACTAAGATTTTCAGTGCTGCAGTAGCAGTTTGTCCTTTCTGACAAATGATTCAAATGGAGCAGGCCTCAGTGGAGCACCACCCCTAAGCTGATGGGTTTCTTTCCCTTAAACAGAACCATGTATAGGTGATCAGGAGTCATCATCCACAGTGTCACACTAGGACTATGCACCATGTTGTCTCTTAAAGATTACCATGCAGACACTTATGTTTGAAACAGCTCTTTCATTGGGGTTTTATTTTTCTCAGTCTCAGCCTGTTATACCAGGTTCTTCAAACTTTGCACCTTCCTGTTAAGGCTTTATGCTGCTGCTTGCAGTTTGTCCCAGTTTCTTCCCTCCCCAAGCGTACCGCTTTCTGAAGTCTTTCTGCTGCTCCTCACATCCAGGTACAGTTTTTTCTGCCCTGGGCTTCCCTTCTTTCTGATGGGGATTTGCTGTTCTTCATAGCTAAATAGTTTATTCCTGCCCTTCCTGGGCCTAGAGTCTAAGGAGCTATCATACAGTTTTTCATTTCGTAGAGTCCCTCCCCAGTCCTTTTCAAGCTCTCTTGTCTTGTTTTCTCTCTAATCATACTCCCAATCAGGTGCCACCTGCCCCCTCATTAGGCTCCCAACTGGGTGCACCTCTTAGTCTCCAGAGAAGCTGGACCCACTTCATTTAAGAGGCTAGCCACCCGGTGACATAACCGCACGAAGGCTATTTGTGACACTTGGTTGTAAAGTACTTTGAGATGAAAGTGCTAATAAGTAGTTAAAAGTCCTAAAGAAGAGACCGTACACGTGTGTGTGAACTTTTCTTGTCTATACTAGAAAATTTTGGCATGCTAACTACTGTTACAGGCATGCCAGCAAGTCCACATGCCAGGCTTCCAACAGTGCACCAGTGCTCACGGACTTTGTGGATGCCATTTGAGTTAATTATGACATCTGTTCATCTCCACCATTGCATCACCAGGGTAGAGAACAGTACTGGCATAACAGCTGCAACAGTGCAATTCGTGTGCATTACAGCGCACCAATTGTTGTTTAGGTGCTTCTGTATTGTACAAGGGTCAAATTTGCTAGAAGCCTTTCACCCGTTCAAATTGGATTGCACATGCTTGGGATGTTAGTACATGTGTTTTCACAATCTCTTGAGTTACCAGGCCACTTTTGTAGTATGTCAGAAGAAACCATCATATAAATGTGCTGCCAGCTGGTTTGGAAGTGTCCCGGTGTTTGAGAACTTGGAGCAACCAGCAGATTACTCCCAGCTGAACCGATTCATAATACCATGTTTTGCAGCTGGGTTCCAAATGTCTTGCCAAGCAAAGTATCATTAATTCTGGGAGAAGATAGAGGGTCTGAAGGTCCAGTGCAACAAGGCCTGTAACATTGACAGTTGCTCCACAGAAGAGTGGAAGACACCTATTTATGACACATTGATGATATTCTCCGCACATCATCATCTGAGTTTATTTTAGTCTGAGTTCATTTTGGACAGCATCAAAAAAGCTGGCAATGTGCTGTTGAGGGACCAGGAAAGGTGGAAAGGACATATGTGGTCAAATTCAGAACTGATGTGGATAAAGGCTTATCCAAAACCATTCTGGGTGCTGAAGATCTCTTTGCAGAGTGTCCCTTTCTGGATACAAGCAGATGAGCAAGCTTTAAATGAGGACTTGGGAGATGAAAGGTCCTCTAAACAAGATATGTTGCTGTGAGTTTACTCCTCTGAAAGTAATGTCACGAGCTTAGAGCGAAAGCTTAACAATGGAAAGAGGAAGGTATTTGTAGACACTTTTTGTTCTGTTACTAACATTTTGGAAAAAGGAAGCCTTTGTTAAAAATTAAACATGCCCTAACTTTCTGTTAAGGTGTGAGAGCTGACTATATGTTCTCTGGAAATATCCGGTAAGTCTTCCAGCAAAACTGGGAAAAACATGAATTTGTATTCCTGATATTTCAAAGGCAACAAGTGAGTAAAAATAAGAACCCAAACGTTTTCTAAATCGTAATGAAGCAAAAGGGCTCATATTCAGTTTTCTAAAATAAATCTTTTACAGATTATCTTTAGAGTTTGAATTTAAAAGGGAAATGAATGCTACTTTTATGACATTCCTTGGTACTTCAAGGATGGTCAATACATTAATATGCCTGTTGACTCTCTCCTTATTTCTCAGTTTAGAAACCACAACTGCATCAAGGCCACAATTTGGAAATGTTAGTTACACCAAGATAGTGAACAGGCAGCACCAGAAGGAGCAGATGCTTGACCTATCTCTATGCTAAGGCAGAGCAAGAGATGAAATGGTGACCATCATAGGGGTGTGAAAATACACAGTAATAGAATTTGAGGTGGAGGACAAGAAACAGAAGTTTGAGGACAGTCCACCTTTTTTGTGTACATTCAGGGAAGAGGACAGAGAAGCCATGATGGAATACATCTATTGTGACAGGGAAATGAGCCTACTGGGAAAAGAGTACCACAGGGAGCTCTTCACGGGAAATAAATGCAGAGCAAGAGGCAAATTGCAGATTGTTCCTCTCTGACTCCCTGCACATGTGCATTATGTTCCAGCTCTTCAGTACAGTGCCATTAGACAGGAGCACTACATGTTGGACTGGCCATTCTTACCTGCTTCTTCCTGGGCATTCCCATGCAACTCTGCCCCTCATCAGGATTAGGGAAAAAGACCATGAGGATCCACAGAAGATGCAATTCCTGTCCCTACAGTGTCTATTTACAAACTGTTTTATTATGTGTTTTGCATTGATTACTTCAGCTGACCTGTATGTGTTGTGTTAAAAAAAGATGGTTTTCGGTATATCTGTTAAAATTTCATTAAGCGGAATAATTTATCCTTCATAGTATCATTAAATCTCACTGGACACCAGACTACTTCATTTTCTATAATATCCTTAATCAAAATCATATACATTTACAAAATGGAGGATCAGCAAAAGCTATTACATAAAGTTAAACCCACCACCAGCAAAGAAAATAATATTTAATAACAAATAGTAGTCTTCTCTTACCTCCAGCAGAAAATTGTCTTGGCTTCAGTTTTGTTTCCATTTTGCAAACAGGCCGTGGATATGAATGGTTAAGTTTCTAAAGGAGTTGGGGGATTTTGACCCCCCCCCATTCTCTCATAATTTTCATGGGCTTGCAGAAACATTTTCCAAATGTCTAGCAAGCCATTGTTTCAGGAAGCCTGAAATTGTGGGCTAAAAACTCGAAAGGCAGTGTGCCTTCAAAGGTTGATTAGTGTGCTGTGTGAAAATACGTGTGCTGTGTGACATGGGGCACGTCAAGCCTGATTCCACATTCTGGCACTTCGAGTGCAGAAGTTGGGGGGCCCACAAGGATTCTAAAAATTAATACTGGCCACTCCAGGCTTGTATTAAACTCCCCAGGTTACAGCTTCTCTCTGACCTTGGAGGGGTAGATGCTGCCACCACCCAAGTGCAAAAAAAACCCCCAACCCTTTGGACCCAGGAAGATGCACTTGGGAATTCCTCCCTGTGGGTACCCTCAAGCCCTTTCACCTGCCTCCGGGGAAGAGCTGAGAGAGAAAACAAAGGAAATCCACTGTTGCCACCAGCTAATTAAACAATATGCACAAACCTCTTAGGACACAAAAATCCAATCCTGTTCTTAAAGGTAAATTTTATTAAAAACAAAAAGAAAGAAAATACATCTGGGAACTTATGCTATTGCTAGATTTTAAAAAGAGCAAATATAATAATTAAGCAGCAAGAATGGTTTTTCTTGAGGTCCCGCTTAATGGTTACAAGCAAAACAAAAGCATTTGGGGAATCCACGAGCCATAAAGAAATAAGAGAAACATAATTGCGTCTTTCTAGACATTCCCTGATCTACTTACATATCTGGGGTTCAGATAAGTAATTCCTAAGTATGATTTGATTTTTCATACCTGGTTTAAAGCTTCTTACAGCATTGCTGTTCTGTCTCTCCTCTCTGGAGAACAGCAGACAGGGAAAGTTTTTCCCCAATTTTAAAAAGTTCTAGCCCTCCCATTGGCTCTTTTGGTCAGGTGCTCACTTCCTTCCTTTTACCTATGGGCTTTTTTAACCCTTTACAGGTAAAGCAAGTAGAGAACAGCGACTAACAGGGATTTTGTAGCTAACTGGCTGTCTGGGTGTCCATAAAAGGGAGCTACCCCGCTCCCTTCATTTATCACAGGGCAGAACTGTAAGTAAAACAAAATGGCTGCTGTGGATACACTGCACTACTGCTGTTGGCACTGGTGCAACCATCAAGGTTCAAGAAGCAATAGTAGAGCTCTCCAGTACAGAGGCTTCCTAATTCTCTTTAAATTCAGAGTAGGTAGCGCAAAACATGGTTTTTGCTTCGTTGCCTTAAACGTGCACACTAAGTTTTTTCTTTATTTGTCTTACCGTTTTGAGCTTATTACTAAAAACTTCTCAAACACCACTAAGGCTATACTTCTCCGCCCCCGCCCCGCACAAACTGAAGGACCCTAGGCATCTGAACAGAAAGTAGTTTTTCATTTGATATTTGATTTGTTGAACAGTCAGTGAGCTAATCACTGAACAATACAAAGACACTGCCCTTTCCCCAAGGAGTTGCACACTAAAGTAGGAGAATGATATAGGAAATGGTTTCATTTGATGTATAAACCTGTTGTTGCATCTGTATTTGTTCTTAAACTTTTCTTTATACAATGCCTTATACTGTAGACTTGTAAAAATTGACCTATTAAGTGTTGTTAGAAATTCTGTTTGTTTAAACAAAGCTACATCATTCTTAGTTTGTCTAATTACAATAATACATTCGATTTAGATGCTGATGTGAGTGAAGACTCCTCTCCCCCACTACCAGAAAGAACACCAGAATCATTTGTATTAGCAAGTGAACAGAGTGAGTCTCTTCTGTTACGTTTTACAGGTTTGGGGAATAAAATAATCCTGAATAAAATGAGTCTAGTATAGTAGTTCTGGGTACTGCTGCTTTTTGTTTGTTTTAAAGAATAAGAAAGTACCAATCCAGTTTTCCCCCCACTCTGTGCATTTTTTTAATCCCTTAGTGTAGCACCGTACATTTGTTTTTGATGAATTTCATTTTGTTGTCAATAGCCCAGTTCTCCAATTTATCAAGATCCCGCTGAATTTTAGCTCTACCCTCCAAAGTATGGGCACCCCCTCTCCCAGCTTTGTCATCTGCAAACTTGATCAGTATGCTCTCTCTACCTACAGCCATTTAGCATAGTAATACATTAATGTAGTAATGTCTTACGACTTGCACATGCACCTGGATACAGCTGGTGGGAGTGCTGATAAAAACTGAGTTTATGGCCTGTCAACATTTCCTGAAAAAAGGATATGTTCTTAAAATACAGTATACTAAAAGCTTATAACACTATATTAAGGATAGTTTGAAGAGAATGGAGCAGATTTTCCAGCCTGCGAAGGTATAGAAGTCTGGCTGTATTTCCCCCTCTCCGCTAAATATTTGCTTGTCTGCTTCCTCAATATCCTTGTAACCCCCAGTGTAGGGGTTGGGGAGGGAGTGTGGCTGGTGTATGCTATATTCCTCTCTCCTTAGCTGATAGATGGTCCTTCAGATCAGCTGGCAACAGTCCCTATGGTAGAATAGCATTAGGCTGCTCTAAGCAACATCTAGGGCTGTGCAGAGAATAAGGGAGCTGTAAACAGCTTCCTGTTGCCCTACTCAGTTGTATCCTGCAGAAACAGCAGTCTAGTCCAATATTGTTACATTTAGTAAGCACAGTGCTACTGTGACATAAAGCCCATATTGAAACAGACAACACTTCCAACTCTAATAAATCAGTCACTGGGTCTGTATCCGAATACTTCACTCATAAAACTAGCAGTGGCTTTAATTAGTAAATAAATAAAAGGAATTCATGTAAATCAGGTCTGGGGCAGATTGGTAATGCTCTAGAGAATTTTGTATAGAAATTACCTGTGTTGTGACAGTGCCATTTGTGAATCCATAGTTAAGGATGAACTGGATTTTCCACACTCCTTTTAGAGCACTTACTTCTGGAGCGTAGTATTTATTTTCTGAGAATATATAAATCAGTTTTGTCTGAGTCAGAATTAGTTAAAATGGGCTCCTTAAGCAAGTTAGCACCCTATTCAAACAATTTTTTTTGCCCTGAATGATCTCTGTAATGGAATAATGCAGACCCTTCACACGTCTCACATAGTTCAATCTTACTGAAATCTTGTCCAGAGGCTACTTTTAAAGAATTAGGAGAAGAAAAAAAAAGATTTCCCCAATTACTTTTTGTAACTAAAAGTTTCTCATTCAGCAGATAGTAAATAATGTTCTACAGAAAATCCACAACAAACAGCCCTCTTTCAAAATGATGGAGAACAATGAGACATGAATCATAGAATCATAGAATATCAGGGTTGGAAGGGACCCCAGAAGGTCATCTAGTCCAACCCCCCTGCTCAAAGCAGGACCAATTCCCAGTTAAATCATCCCAGCCAGGGCTTTGTCAAGCCTGACCTTAAAAACCTCTAAGGAAGGAGATTCTACCACCTCCCTAGGTAACGCATTCCAGTGTTTCACCACCCTCTTAGTGAAACAGTTTTTCCTAATATCCAATCTAAACCTCCCCCACTGCAACTTGAGACCATTACTCCTCGTTCTGTCATCTGCTACCATTGAGAACAGTCTAGAGCCATCCTCTTTGGAACCCCCTTTCAGGTAGTTGAAAGCAGCTATCAAATCCCCCCTCATTCTTCTCTTCTGCAGGCTAAACAATCCCAGCTCCCTCAGCCTCTCCTCATAACTCATGTGTTCCAGTCCCCTAATCATTTTTGTTGCCCTTCGCTGGACTCTCTCCAATTTATCCACATCCTTCTTGAAGTGTGGGGCCCAAAACTGGACACAGTACTCCAGATGAGGCCTCACCAATGTCGAATAGAGGGGAACGATCACGTCCCTCGATCTGCTCGCTATGCCCCTACTTATACATCCCAAAATGCCATTGGCCTTCTTGGCAACAAGGGCACACTGCTGACTCATATCCAGCTTCTCGTCCACTGTCACCCCTAGGTCCTTTTCCGCAGAACTGCTGCCTAGCCATTCGGTCCCTAGTCTGTAGCTGTGCATTGGGTTCTTCCGTCCTAAGTGCAGGACCCTGCACTTATCCTTATTGAACCTCATCAGATTTCTTTTGGCCCAATCCTCCAATTTGTCTAGGTCTTTCTGTATCCTATCCCTCCCCTCCAGCGTATCTACCACTCCTCCCAGTTTAGTATCATGACAAAGACTGAAACCAGAATTGCCCTCACTTGGTGACCATTCTGAGAGGAGCATCTCTCTCCCCTGTTGTTCAGTATGTCTGAGTGTTCTCTTCTACCTCCTGGCAGCATAGGAGGCCACCATTTTGAGTGCAACTTGGCATCTCTCATTGAGAACAATGGGATATGAAGCCCATTTTGAATGAGGGCAAATTCTTCAGTTTCTCTGAAGATTTAATGCACTAAACTCTGGAAAATTTTATGAAAAATAATAGCAAAAAATTACCATTAATCCTAAATATGTCTCCACAAAAGCTACCTGTTGAACCAGATCTATTCAAGAAAGAGCAGAAAGGGAGGAGAAAATGGGGTGCACAGGGAAATATGCTGGATCCAGGCAGTTGGGGGAACTAGGTAGCATGTTTGTACACAGGAGAGTTTGGAGGACAGGAAAAACTTAATGAAGGAGAAGGTGTGTGTACATTCTTACTGCTTGGCACTTCTACAGAGTGGGGTAAAATAGCCAGAGCATACTGGTGAATCTAGTCATAAAAGTTAACATTTAAAACAAATAAAGGGCGTTTTGCTTCATATCTTCAAATCATTAAAATGATCACACTGTAACATTGTTGGAATTTGTGTAGTGTCCATGCATGAAACATTTTTAAAGGAAATTTGCAGACAACAATTGTTTAAAATGGAATTAAGGTTGAGTACTAAAGTTTTTTTAATAATAATCAGGGATGCTGTAATTATCTCAAACAAAAGTGTTACAAACCCAGGAAATTCAGACTGAAGGTTAAACCTGAAAGAAATCAAGGCACCTTAAGGTATAAAAATGTACAGCACCTAAACAATCTTATTTCTGCCCTGTAGTGACGTGAGAAGAAAATTCTGTCTTTAAACATTTAATTCAGACAAAAAGTGCTAAAATGCCATAATCTGAATCCTATTTTGGTATGGTGTCACTACAGGGAAGAATTATGGTTTTTTGTGCATTTCCTTAGCTTGAAATGTTTTGATATTTCAGATCTAACCTTAGCTCTGAATTTTTGGGGTCTATAATCCTTGGCTTTGTACCATCTGTAATTATGACTTTATAAATATCTATTAATCTCCCTCTAAAAATATTTATTTTGCATATAATGTTGCATTGTAGCCTGAGATGTCAAAATAGAATTTAGTGGAATCTGATATCCATGCATTTCCAAGTTTTACATATTGTATATATTCAAGGTATAAAATTTTTCGCAGTTGGTGTATTGCATTTGTTTTAAATTTCACCTAAAAACTGACCCAGTTGCCTACCAACTGGAATTCCCTGATTGTAGGAAATTCTATCCAACTTTAAGCAAAAAAGGGAATTTTGTGATTTTGCATTTTGATTGGTGGCAATTTGTAATCTTGGAAGTTCTTCATTAAGTGTCTTGAACAAAATGTTGATTAGAAATATTGTGAATACTCTTTGTTTTAAAGACCTTTTAGAAAAGGTGGTTGATGTAACTTCTCTCTAAAGTTTTGTTAGGACGGTCCTTGGTATGGTATTGAAACTCAGGAGATCACAGTGTATAAATTTCTGAAATATATTTTGATTTTAAGATTTCATTTTTATTAGGTGCACCTTTGACCAAGACTTTTACGTTTTCACAATCTGCTGAAAGGAGTATACTGCATGATCAGAATCTTCCTGAACAAACAGAATCTACAGTAAGTATCAGTGATAAGTCAATGCTAATTTTTAGCTTCTAGAACTAACCTTTTGAATATACAACCAAATGGTAAAAGAATTTTTTTTAAATGTTAGTGTTAAGTGTTGATAAACTTCAACTGACCAAGTTAACTGACTTTTGCTTTAACTGGTGACCTGTACCAATTTAATTTTTGCATTTAAACCTGAGCTGCTTTTCTACACTGTTCTGAATGTTGAGTGTTAACATTCTGCATTTTTTTGTCACCAATACTTCAGATGAAGTGGTAGCACAGAGCTCTTCTAGCTTTACAGACAGAAGTGAAAATTAAGATCAGAAATTGAATGTTCTATGAAATGAGTTAAATGCTACCTACACTCAAACTACTCTCCTTTGCCGTCTGCAGTTGCAGTGCTACGAACAATCCCTCTTTCCTTTCCATTGCAACTAATACATTTCACCAATCCTTGCCCCATACAAAACTGTAGACATTTTAAAGGTGACCTGCAATGAAAAAATGTATTACAGTGTAAATTAGGATTATGACTATCCTTTGATGTATAAGGAGCTTGAGGAGAACTTTTCCAAAAGGTGTTTTTCTTAAAAGTACAAAGAATATGAAGGTTTTACAGTTAGAGGAGGTCTTACATGATTGAGAAATGTGGGTTGGGAGCATTTTGCCATCCAAGTGATTTTAGTTAAAAAAATTGGTTAACAAAAACAGTTAAAATAAAAATCACTTTTTAATGCCTCATAGAATCATAGAATATCAGGGTTGGAAGGGACCCCAGAAGGTCATCTAGTCCAACCCCCTGCTCAAAGCAGGACCAATTCCCAGGACCAATTCTCAGATATGCTAAG